TCTGAATTTTAGTATTGCTTCAACAAATAGTTACTTGCCAAATGTACCAGTGTTGCACTGGAATCTATAGTTAGTATATTGCAAGTACTATTTTATTTTAGCTTTACAATGGCCTTTCTGAAGAAAATGTTATTTGCGATTTGTGGGTGAAAAATGAATGCACACAGAACAAAAATAACTACTGAAGGATATGCAGAAAGTGGTTTTACACAGACATCAATGGAAGTACAAGGCCAGCATTCTTCCCTGTATAGAAATCTGATACAGAGAAAAGAAATTCAGGGATAGACTGCTAGCTTCAGGATAGAATAGTGCTTAACTATAGAAGGGGTGTCTACTTTCCATTTAGCCCCAGCCTCTGTATGGGGAACACAAGATCCTCACCTTAATAACATTACAATTAGAGGACTCATTGGGATTTTTAAGGTATGATTGGTTACACTTAGGCTATTTTCTTCCTTTTGAGTTTCACAAAAGCCTGATGAATGGGTAGAATAAGTACTATTATCTCTATTGTATAGTTGTGGAAACTGAGGTTAAGGAAATGAAGTGCTTTGCCCAATATCACTGACCCATAAAGTAACAACTAAGCTTAGCCTGAAGTCTCCTGATGACATTTGTAAATGTGCCGGACCCAGATCCAGACCCCCATAAGTCCCAAGTACTCAGTCATGGGCCATTGTAGTAGGCAGTATTAGCCCTTCTCAGAGGGTTTATGCTTATAAATTTTTGAGTCCTACTTTTGAGACACAAACATGAAACCTGAGTCCTGTCAGGCATATTGAATAACTGTAAATCTCACAGAAGAACCAAGGACATTCTGTCAAGATGTTCTGTGCAACATGTTCTGTCAATACTGTGATTACCTTTTGGAGGTCCTCTTATGTGGTTCCCAATGGCTGATCTGTTACAAAACAAGTTCAGAGCCTTTGCTTTTGTTTAAGAGAAGTGGAAGGATGAAATAAATACATAAACTTAGCTCTAAAATAATGGCTAGAGAGAATGAGCTGAAACAGCCTGACTCCTCTGATTCCTTACTCAGCATGTGAGCTGAGTCTTCGTGTTTTGTAAAGATGAAATCGTAGAACTGATAGGAATTTAGAGATGGAGAGGACACTAATATTTATCAAATGCAAATAGCCACCTTGTCTTGTGCATAGTGCTGATCTGGGGGTTTTCATGCCTTCTCCCTTAAAATAACTCAGGAAATATGGGGCATAGTTCCTGGAGTATCTAAGTAGCTTTCCAAAGGATATATTCACAAGCCTGACTTTTGAAAAAAATAAAAAAGCATGTTTGATAGCAATATCTGGTTTTTAATTGGCAATGTGCTGGAAAATTGCAAACTGCGTGTCTTTTCTTAAAATGATAAACTTTATTTGACAATAATTCCAATTACCAGATACTGTATTTGTAGTAGGCATTTTTCAGAAATACGTATCCTCCCTGGAGCCCGTGGGGGATGAGGACATTCTCTCCATTTCACAATAACAGCAAAAATGGGTAGTAGAGCAGAGATTTGTACAGATTCACATGTTGAGTTTTAACATTGTTTTAAGCACCCTATAAAAGATAGGTATTAGAAGTTAGTTGGGATCATAAGGCTTTCCCTATTGTCTTTTATTTAAATCTTTCCTCTCTGCTATATGATGTCAAATGGCCTGAGCAGGTATTTATCTCTATTGTAATGTAATGTTTAGGCTAAGAGTTTCTCATATTTGTGGAATTACAGAGCTTCAACCATATTAGCATTCTCCCTGGCAACAGCCAATGATTTTTTCATGGACTATGGGGTTTAGTAAATACTGATCAGAAATTCAAGATCACTTAGGATATCTACTTTATACATTAGTATAGTTAATACATGCTAATAAACATTTATAAAAATAGTTGTGTTGAATAACCATTTTGCAAATAATGGTTTGACCAAAATGAGTATCATTAGCATGGAATGAAGTTGTGTGATTTAATACATACATACATACATACATATATACATAAATACATACATACATAATACATATATCCAATCTTGTACATTTATTACAGTTTAGTAATTACACATTTGACAGCTTGTCCTTACAGTGGAAGGACTTCTTCACAATGTCATGCATTAAATTGCGTGTAATTTCTTTTCACATCGATTGTAAACAATCAAGTCAGGTAAGTTTTAGTGATATGCTTTCTTGAAAGCATTTGTCTTAATATCCTTACTTAAGAAAATCGCAGAACTCCATTCACTGCCTAAAATGACTGGCATTTTGTAATGATCATTTTGACAAGGTTTTGTTTAAATGTTTAGTGTCCACAGGCACAGAAAATGATTTGTATTCTTTAAAGTTTTGTTTTGATATTACTTAGTGAGATTGATGAATTAGGTACCTAATATTTTTCCAGATATATTTTCCTGATGTTTTATTTGTGGATTGAAGATGATTTATCCCAGTTAACATTTTCTTTTCTATAAAATTTGGAGATGACAATGCTATTATTCTGCTTTTAATTTTTTTCTATAAAACATGAATAATTTATAAATAGAACTTTCTATTTAAAAGGCTAATGGCTTAAGTAGGATAAGATAACTCTAATTTAGGATTTTTTATAATTTTTCTTTATTAATCTTTTTAAAATTTATTTATTTAGTTTAGAAACAATCAAACACCCACAGCTAAGCCCTAAACTGTACTCCTGGAATCCAATTGTAGAGAGGGAGGAGTGATGAGCAAAGGGGTCAAGACAGAGCTGGAGAAACTCAAAACAGCTGACTTGACCAAGTGAGAGCACACGGACCCCAGTCATAAAGCTGGGAAACCAGCATTGGACCGAACCAAACCCTCTGAATGTGAGTGCCAGTTAGGAGGCCTGGGCAGTCTATGGGACCTCTGACAGTGGAACCAATAGTTTTATCCCTAGTTCACAAATGGATTTTGGAAGCCCATTTTCCATGGAGGGACACACTCTCAGCCCAGATACATGGAGGAGGGCCTAGACCCTGCCCCAAATAATGTGACAGACTTTGATGATTCCCCATGGAAGGCCACACCCTCCCTGGGGAGGGGATGGGGGTGTCGGTGGGGAACATGAGAGGATGGGAGGTAGAAGGAACTGGGATTGACATGAATTTATCTTTTTTCAATCTTAATTTTATTTGTGTAACACTTATTTATTGTATTTGTGTATGCATTGGTATGTGTTGATGTACATGCCTAAGTATACACACTTAGAGGCCAGAACTTGGTTTCTCGTATCCTTTTTATCATTCTCTACCCTGTTTTTTTGAAACAATCTCTCATTGAGCCAGGAAATGCCCAGTTGGCTAGATCGGCTCACCAGTGAGTTTCTAGGATACAACTCTGCAGCTACTGGCTTATGCCCCTACCTCTGGCTTTTTCTGTTGGTGCTAGAGATCTGATGACATTTTTTCATACTTGCATAGCAATTACTTTACCCTTTGTGTCTTTTTCCTAGCATACTTAAGGTTTTTAAATGTTACTAAATGCTATTTTTAAAAGTTTATAAAAATCTAATGTTTGTAGTTCTTGCTTATACCTTTAAATTTTTATAAACATTTGGTTCAAGAAATACAAAATATTTTAAGTTTTCTAGCACCAGTACATTTTGATACTGCAAAACTAGTTGTCTTGTTCATATGAAAATTAGTAGTAGTTCTGCAGTTCATGACAACAGTTTTTAAAGTCACTAATTGTTGCATTATTTCACTGTTATATTTCATGTATATTTTAAGCTGTAGCCAGTAGAACTTCTGTATTAAAAAGCATATAAGAAGGTTTTTGCTTTACATCATCTAGGAAGTCTGTGGAGAATGCTTATTTCATATATCAGAAGAGCAGCTTCACTGGCAGGATGATATAACCTCTGCATTCATTTGATCATCGACCACATAATCTTTCAGAAGACAGACAGACATTTGGCAAAACTGGACTTGGATTTTGTTTCATAGGTCTATGTTTCCTCTTTATAAAAATGGGGATGAGAATCTGTAAGTCATCAACATTTTAGGGCTAAAAGGAAAGTTCTTCAAAACTTAACATGACTTTTATCTGAGGAGGTAGGAAGTAAGGTTCCTTGGGAATATTTTAATTTTGAATATGATATTGCTTATCTTGATCATCCTCTTTCTTACTGTTTCTTGGTTATAGTTAACCTGAAACTGTGGCATTGTCTCTTTTGTATAGTAAAAGTCCCCCACCCCTTTGGATTTGGAAGGAGTGTCATGAATAGTGGTAGGTGTTATGAGGGTCGTTGCCTGGAAGCCCCCTTAAGAAGATCTCTATGCTCACTAGTATTATTATGTAATCATCATCTGATAGCCCTCAGAAGCCTCCTTCTGATTTTGTCCTTTGGAATTATACTAGTCCCCATGATATGCCACATTTTGCACTGTAGTTTGGGGCATACAGACACTAGGCTAATACTTGGCATTCTTGTTAATTTGAGCCTCAAAATGAACTTAGTTTTCTGTCCTTATAGATGAGAAAATTGAAGTGCAGAGAAAATATAGTCCCACTATCACATAAGTGGTTTTATCAGAATAAGGAAGCCAAACTAATGTTGTCTTTTTCTCATTATGTTCTAATTACTCTTCTGTAAATTGTTTCTTTTACTAATTATTTAAGAAGAACATTTTTATAACACATTACTGATAATAGATGACACTTGAGAAATTATGTGTCTTCTTGGCTTTTCTTTTCCTTCGTATTTCTCTTGTGGTGGTAATTTAGGGGAGAGTAACAGTTCTGTCTCCTACTGTGGTTTGCATAGGGCTTGGGGCTCGATTGTTGATTGCCACTGCAGTGTTCATTGCAGGTGAGACTCACTGGACAGTCCTAAAGTCTGAGAGAACCACACTGGGAAGAAGAGATGAAGGCAGTTCTTATAACCAGAACTAGTTATAAAAGCCTAAACCTGGAGTGCCTGGCCTGTTGGAAGAAGGAACACAATCGACAGTATATGCCTCTGTTTCCCCAGGGTCCAACAGGATGAGCATCCGGACCCCACCCACACTGGAGGAGCTGGCAAGGAATGTGCTGCTGAGAAATGAGACCTTAGCCATATCTGCTTTGGAGGACCTGCCCATGATGCTCTTCCCAGCACTGTTCAAGGAGGCCTTCAGTGGCAGACACACTAAGATTGTGAAGGCTATGGTGGCAGCCTGGCCTTTCCCCTGCCTTCCTCTGGGGACCCTGATGAACAACACCTTCAACCTGGAGGTCTTCCAGGCTGTGCTGGATGGACTGGATGTCCTGCTGATACAGCAGGTTTGCTCCAAGAGGGGGAAACTTCAAGTACTCGATTTTCGGCAGGTGCACCATGAGTTCTGGTCCATACAGGCTGGAACAAGAGATGGGGACTGCTCAGCAGAGACTGTGAGTGAGAAACAAGTAGTGCAGGTCCTTCCCAGAGATGAGCTGAGGGGGAAACTGAAGGTGGTTGCTGACCTCTACTTCAGGTTCCAACTGGATGAAGAAGAAATGTACTTGTTGCACTGGGCCCAGCAGAGAAAAGACTTCCTACAGCTCTGCTGTGTGAACATGAAGATTGTCTTATTGTCCCTAGATAATGTCAGGATGGTTCTGACAGTTTTCGAGCCAGAGCACATGGAGGTTCTGGAACTCACTGTAGATTGGAATTGGTGCACTCTGGCACGATTTTCTCCCTGCCTCACCCAGATGAGAAATCTTCACACACTTTCCCTAGTGTGGATTCACAAGAATGGATTTGGGGTTGTGTATATACCAGGTTTAGAGAAGTTTATCCAAAAGTTCATTGCTCAGTTCTCCAGACTCGGTAGTCTCCAGCATCTCTATCTGAATGGCTTCTGTTTTCTCAGTGACCACATGAAACTCTTGCTTAGAAACCTGAAGACCACCTTGGAAACCTTCTCTGTCACTCACTCCCACTTTTTACAGTCACATTTACATCACTTCTCCCAGTGTCAGCAACTCCATCAACTAAAACATCTGGACATGAGTGGTGTCCCAATGTCCCATTTATTTATGATGCCACTCAGGGTTCTCCTAGAGAATGTTTCAGACACTCTTGAGACCCTGGAATTGCAGGGGTGTGAGATAAAGGACTCTCAGCTCAATGTCCTCCTACCTGCCCTCAGCCAATGCTCCCAGCTCACCAAGGTTAATTTCTACACCAATGACTTCTCCATGAATGTCTTGAGTGACCTTCTCCTCCACACAGCCAACTTGAGCAAGATGACCATGGAGCAGTACCCTGCCCCGCTGGAGTGCTATGATGATTTGGGTTATGTCTCCATAGAGAGATTTGTACAACTTTGCCTTCTGCTCATGGATACACTCAGGGCCATAAGGCAACCCAAGATGATCTCCTTTGCTACAGATGTTTGCAGCAGATGTTTTAAGCGCTGTGTGTATGACCAGGAGATCAGACTTTGTCCTTGCTTGCAGTAAGGAGGGGAATATTAAAAAGCGTAAACCTGAGCCCAAGTCATTCTTTGTCTTTTGTCTAGTATTATGACCCCTGCTTCCATACATGCTTTGGAAATTGGTGCCATCTACCATGAGATGACACAGCCAAGGGGAGTCTACCCAGAGCCAATGCTTTTACCTTAACTTCCCCCCGTAAACTAAGCTAACAAACCTCTTTTATTCATACTTATCCAGTATTTCATTATTGTAATGAAAATGTACCAGTCCATCCCACAATCCTACCCCTCAAAAAAGAGGGAAGAGGAAATTACTAGTGAATCTGCATATACGTGGATATTTATCTGACAATACCTACCTAAGAAGATAGATGTGAGAAGAATAACTCTTTTTCCCCTTGGTCTACTTGCTCCTCTTCTGGAGTTTATATTTTCCACCTTCATTTCAGTGGAGTTGTGCTTGATTTTGTAAACTCCATGGAGGACTAGAAATGTTACAGGGATGTGGTTTCAAGAAAGATATTGCAGTAGCTCTCAAATAAGGAACCAGATATTGCAGTTCCAAAGTAGGCTCTGGGCAGAACACTGCATTTGAGAAGGCAAGCCTGAGTGTTTTTGACTTTTTTTGTAAAGTGATAGAATAAGTTCAGGACCCAAATAGAATGGGCTTGAGATATTCATGGTACTTGAGCGGACAAATGTGAGTATCAGCTTTCAAACTGATGTATTATTAGTCTGTGCTAACTAAGTTTTGTTGTAATTAAACAAAGTAGCTTTGGACTTCCCCTAAATGACTAGTGTTACTAAGTCTGGAAAAGACTTAGTAAAAAGTTTTCCTTCGTAGTTAATTTATTGGGGGGTTTCATGTATGTTAGCATTAAGGTTGATTTTTTTTAAAGATGCAAGGTGGGAGGGTAGAGAGATAAATTATTGGCTCTTGTGTGGCAGCTAGGTTTCTCAGAATTAGTTCAAGTCTACTGTAGGCATATTGAATTTTGTTGAACTGCATATGTAATTTTTGGGGTTTGTTGCCACTTATAGACTCTCAATTTGGGTGCTATAACTCTATCTTTAGAGAATGACTTCTAATTTATATTGTTCTACAATTAAACATAATGTGTTGTGGATCCTGTAAAATTTATGAAAACAAATACCTAATATGCCTGATTGACTTCTGTTACATATTATATCAACTTCTGTGCAATTTGTTGTAGGTAATGTTGGGAAGTAAAAAAAGAGGCACATGGTTTAGAATGTGTTACTATTTCTGAACTTTTGGTTTGTTAGCTGGGTGTTCTGGAGGCCAGTTGCCTCTCAAATCTAAATTTCCTTACATGCAAAATGTGCATACAGTGATAGTAGCCCCAGAGTGATAAGGATTAAAGGTGGATAATGATGTCTGCTTTCTAACTAAGCATCTTATATTGTTTGTTAACATCAACCTTTGGTTTTTCTTTTGTCTACTCCTCAGTGTTTTGTCACCACCATGAAGAATAAAGTCCTAGTTCCCATCAGGACTCACACTGCTCTCACATACAATTCTTAGGCCTCATTTCATAAACACTTTCCCTATTCCTATCGATTATTCTGCACAATTACACTGGTCCTGGCCTTAACAGCCAGCTCATTGCCACCTCTGTTTTTTTTATGCATTCTATGCTGGTTCTGTGAAATTATCTGTTCCATAAACTCTACTTCCATTGTTGCTTCTGAGAGCTGTTCCTGACTACTTATATCCAAATTGTATCCCTTAGTAAAAGAAGCTGTTTCAGGAGGACTCTTGTATGTCTTAATTCTTCATCAATATACAACCAGTATCTAGACTCATAAGAAATACTGAATAAATATATGTTTTATGTTGGAGTAATATGTAATTTAAATGTCTAGTAATGTACTCTTTTGAGGTATCTTAAGATTTGAATTGGAAAGCATTACAAAGAAGAAACAGGCTTCAGGTACAGTTCATTTATTTATAATGAAATGGCATGCACTTTTGTGTTATCTTTTCAACAAGATTTTTGGAATGTATCCATAAGAGAAAAAGACCAGTATGAACATTTGAAACAAATACACATATTAAAACTTAGTGCATTTTCAAATACTGAGGAATAGTAATAGCTTCCTGTGTTGACCCAGCCCCATCCTATTTCATAAGATTCATTTTTGTATTTTATGGTTCACACAGTACAAGTCAACAGTTTCTATAAATATCTTCTAAAGCATTTCTTTTAGAGCACATATGCTTTTGAAAATGTTGAAATTTTCACATTCATAACATTGTGCCATTTTACTCATTGTACCATTTTAAAAATGTAATCTAAGACATTTTGGGTTTAGCTTTACATATAATCTCATTAATCCACAGAAGCCACTAAATCGAGAAAATACTTTCCTGGACATAAATGACTAACTAAATAAGTGGATTTTTGCTCTGGCACTGTAGCTCTATGAAACCTTCATTTATTTACCTTTCATAGAATATTGGTATTGTCACTTGGGAAATTAAATGTGGTTTTTGTTGTTATTGAGAACTAGATAATAGTTTTCAGTTGCATTGTGTTTATTTTGAGCTATAATTTGCTCCCAGCATTAAAAGGGAATCATTTTAGTGAATTATAGAAACCCTTAGTAAAATGGCTATTAAAGTTGAACTTTGGATGCTTTTGATAAAATCACCACCATTATTTTCATCATCAACCATAATAAACAGTTGTGAACTGGGCTTTTAAAATCTCCTGAATACTATTCAGTTAATTAAATTATGCACATCCACATTTTTATTTTTATTTTATTATTTTTATAAACTTAATTTATATTAGAAACAATCTTCTTTTACGTATCAGTCCTAGTTCCCTCTCCCGCCCATCCTCCCATGCCTCCCACCAACCCCCCTCATCCCATCCCCAGGGAAGGTGAGGACTCCCATGAGGGATCAAAGTCTGACACATCACCTCCCCCATTTATCTATGCTAACAGAGTATCCCTCCATGGGGAATGAGCTCCCAAAGTCGGTTCATGAACTAGGGATATGTCGCGTCCACCCTTGACCAGCAAGAACGACGCAACACTGAGGAATCTTCTTCACAGTTTTATTCAGGAACCTTGCTTTACAGTGAATGGCGGCCCCGGGTAGAGGAAGACGGGGCCTGAAATAGTCTACATCTACCAATCACCTAACCCTAAGTGGTGCGCCAGGATAGGTTGTCTCCAAGCAGAATTAAGATGATACATGACCTTTACCAAATTAGGAGTTGTTTACCACAGAGAGCACTCACCGTCGGGCTGGCAGAAGGTGGAAACCAGCGCCATCTTTTGGGTGCGGTACTTTGCAGCTCCCAACAGTTCCCCTTTTTGTTTTAATATTGTAGGAGTAGCAGTATCTATCTGTTGTCATATTTCAGTCATCTCTGTCTTAGGTTCAACCCCAATGTCCCTATCTTACCCGTCAAAGAGTCACTGTGTCGCCCTCACAGGCTCATGTCTTAGGTTGAAGGGAACACATGTATGCTTATTCGCTCAACAAGAGGTTAGGTGCCCGTCATTGAGCATGACTGATTCAGATACGCATCACTCACTCAGTAAGGGTGAGACAGACATCTATTTGTCTGTCAGCATGGATAACCATGCTTGAGGGGATTGTCCTACTTCCACAGCAGCAAAGGCCTGTACCAAGATGGCAGCTTGGGATTTTTGAGACTTCCTGATCCTGCATAAGCACCATAGGCAAACAAAAATGGCCAACAACATTATGGAAAGCATAACCCCCACCCCAGCCCATTCCTTAACTAAACTAAAGTAGTTAAGAGGGTATTAACAGTGGGCAGGCTCAGGCGTGTAGCATTCACGGCAATAATCTGTTGTGTCAGGGTATCTGTCAGGTTCTCGAACTGTTGACTCCAATTTCCCTGAAGGTAGACACTCAGCTGCAAACCCAGGTTGCTGTTCTCTGTGAAATTGTTGGCTATCCTGGAGGTGATACATAAAGAAGAAAAGGAATGAATGAATCCTATGGAAGTTAAGGTTACTAAATAATCTACCTGTTCCTGCAACAGGTCCACTCTTTGGTTCACAGTTAGAATGCCAGCTTTTAAGTGGCCATCAATAGATCTTATGGTAGTTAATGTTGAGGCCATTTTTTCAACAATGTCATTGACCGTCTCAGCTGATTGGACCTGTGCAGCCATGGCAATGGCAGCAGTGCTGCTGCAGAAAGGGTAATGGCAGTAACCAATGCTGCAGTTATGCCAAAATCCCGTTTGGTTCTGATGATTTCCGTAATGGGAAATGTTCCTGTATCCACTTTAACCGGAATAGGAACATACATAGGAATCCTCATCACTACTGCTGTATTAGCAGAACCATTCCAACATTGACTAGCAATGCAGGAGACGTCGGTCGAATTGCATGAGATCACTTCTTTGATAGCATCAGTAGCGTTAGCGAGCAGAAAGAAAAAAGGAGCTTTTAAACATACTGGGCTAGCTGAAACAATGAGATTATTCAAAGTTTTATGTATTGATAGATTCTTAAGAGAAGGTTCCTTCTCATCCCTTGTACCAGAAACATTAAGAAGTCTTATGCAGAGATTCTGGAGAACTGCAAAAGGTTCAAGAGAAGTAAATGCTCCA